GTATAAGAACATGAAGTAAAAAAGTATAAAAATATAAGAGTACAAGATAGAAAAAGTATAAAAAGTATAAAAATATAAAAGTACAAGATAGAAAAATAAAAATATATGAATATTATAATTAATAATATATAAAGAAATTGTGAAACGTTTTAAGTTCTTTACATGATTTTCATAATTTCATGAAATATTACGAATTATGAAATTAACAAATTTTATAACATAATTGTAACAATACAATACTGCACCAAAACACAAAAATTCATTATAGATCTTATTAATTTGATCAATCAGACTTCTTTATTTTATATTGTAAAAATTTTAAATCATTATACGTAACTTTTGAAAACAAAAAAATTAAAAATTCTCTTACATAATTATAGTTTACTAAAAAAAATAAAAAATTTTCTTACAGAATTATAGTTTTACTAAAAAACTAATAATCTGTAAAAGGAATTTATTAATTATCAAGTTATTAAAATTGGATGGCTTATGCTATATAGAACTTCAATTTGTATTTGCAAATCAATTTCTGTAATGATACAGGAATGCATTTGAATAATGATAATACATATAATAATGAATAAAGTTTCGCATTTGATTGTTCTGTAATCAAATATGATTTAGATATTATACCTGGTTAACTTAAGGATGCTTGTCTAAATCCTTTCAGAAAAATATCGTCATAATTTTGACAGGTTACACACTAATTGTTAATTAAAATTTCGATATAATTTCAGTTATGACGGGTTTCAAAATTCATCAGAATTTCGACAGGTTATTTACTAATAGTTTATTATAATTTTGACAGAATTTAGACAGTCACTAAGGAATTTCAGCAAGCAACCTTAGATTAACTATAAAATTATCTGCTGGACTGGACCAGCTTTAATCACATTTAAAAGAGTAGCCTTCACAACCATTTCCATTTATTGTATAAATATAAGGCTTACGTATTTGATAGCTTGTAGTATAATGATAACGATAAATATTCACATTTGCAAATATCAAACCAAGCATACCGAAACATGCTTCAATGAATATGCATATAATAGATCTAGAACAAATATTATGTAGACCATTGATGAAATTCTCTGAGATTATAGATTTGATTATACATCTATTGTGTGCTATAATGATGCTTAAAGATAATCTGTTGGAAAAATTTTATAGTACAAGATTTGATAAATATTATTCTATTAACTAAATTTTACAAATTCATAAATTTATCAAAAAATTCAAAAATCAGATAGTGATCAATCTGATTTAGGATATGAATATTATTTTCAATTTAATTATTTCCTTTCATTATTTATCATGTTGCTAATAGTCAGATAATATAAAATATAAGATTCTAAACTAGTTGAGATTATTTTGGAAATTATGTGATTTTCAGATGTTATACAAGTATAGTAAATGTATACCAGAACTATTGCTGATCATTTTTGTTAAATATTAGCAGTGAAATAATTTTAATAAATCTTTACAAATATACTCAATTTGTAAATGCTTCCTGTAAATATTATTCTTATTTATTGTACATGTGTATAATTTTTTTGTTTTGTGATAAATAAACGCGACGCTTTGCTGAATTAATTAAGTATGATTTCCATCAATTTTTTATATTATATTAGGACATATTGCAATATGTATTGAAATATATACTATTTAAGATCTTTTTACTTCAAGCATATATCTTCCAAGCTTTTTTATTTCTTAAGAACAATGATTAATTATAGTTTCAGAGTAACAAAAAGGACTTTTATCCTTTAAAATTATATTTAATAAGGCTCAATAAGTTAAATTTGATAATATATCCCTATCAATTATCAGCAAAATCAATTATCCATTATTTTCTAATATAACTAAAAAAACAAAGATTCATTTGATCATTTTGCTCTCAATATACCATTTATTGAAATAAATCTATAATTTTTTATTGTAGTTAAGAAATTGTTTTTTATTAGGTGATTTCAATTTATTATGAGTCTTACCCCTATCTGATATATAAATGTTATATGTATTTATTTATATATTCTATTGTAAAAATATTGACATATCAAAAAGTAAAGATAAATTATTATAATAATTAAAAGTTTATAATTTTTTTGCACTATTAAAAGTATATTTTAATCTAATTTTTATACTATTTTTATTCTTTTATTATCTTTTAATAAAAATAAAACTTTTTGAGATTTTTAAAAAAAATAGATTTTTAATATTTTTTCTATGAATATGCAATTTTTATAAATTTGTATTAAACAAGTATATTAATATATAAATATATAATAAATATATATATTAAATATTAGCAAAATTAAACCACTAGTTATTGAGAAATTAAGCTTTAAAAACTAATAATTTGATTTTTTTACTATATAAAATTTATAAAAATGATTATAAATTATTACATATATAAAAAATTAAAATAATCAAATTCAAAAAGTTATTAATTAATAAAAATTTTTATTTTTGTTTATATATAATAAAAAAATTATATAAATATATTAATTATAATACTTATTAAATTAATATATTTCTCTTAACTTTTTATAATATATCAAAACTTTTCAAGTACAAAAATATTACAAATACTAATTATTAATATTTTTTATAATTAATAGAGCTTTTATATCAAATATTTTATATTCATAAACTTTTATATTCAAATATAATAAATTAATTAGTTTATAATAATCTAATTTAAATAAAAAATAATAATATACAATTTGCCTAATCTAAATAAATTAATAGTAATATTTTTACTTAAATTAGATCAATAAATATTGAGATATTATATTTTAAAGAGATTACTTCATAATTTTTTATTAAAAATTGATTAATTTAGAACAAAATATCTTGATTTCTAGTAATTTATACATACAAAAATAATATTATTTGATTTATTTAGTCAAAATAAATCAAATAATATTAATTTGTTCAAATTAGATTATTAAAAATAAAAATATTACATCCTAAACTGATTAATTAATTTTTATTAGTATCAAAAAATGAATCTGCTACTTTAAAATATAATATTTCAATATTTATTTGAACAAAAATAATACTGTTCAATTTACCTTAACTAGATGAATTGAATGTTAGTATTTTTGTTCAAATTAATCACTAAATATCAAGAATTAGATTATTGAATATTAAGAAGTGTATTATAAAATAACTAATTATACATATCTATATTTAAAATGTGAACATTCAATATAGAAGCTTTACCAATTTATAAAAGGTATCAACAATTAGCATTTGTAAAATTCTTTGTGCTTAGAAAATTTTGGTACATTACACATGTCTATAAAAAGTTAAGAGGGGACATTACTTTTAATGAGCACTATATAATCTAAATATTATATTTGATAAAAAAATTAAAATTTTAAAAGTAAAAAAAATTTTTTATTAATAGCAAAGTGGTGTATCAATATTTTTGCAATGGATTATATTATATAACCTGATGTTTGCTCTTATACCTCACCCTTTAAAAATCAGGTGATAAAAGCCACTTCTCTTATAAAAATTACCTTTCAAATGTACAAAAATATGATAAATATAAAATATTTGCATATTAAAAATCTACAACTACAAAAACAACAAATTAAAAATTCTTAATCAATTGTAATGTTTAGTCTAAGTGATTTAGTTGTAGGTCGAAGCTCTCTTGCTAGAATATTAAATATATTATCTAAATTTTTTGGTGTATAAGTCCATATTATGAAGATTTGGGCATAACAATAACGATGATTCCATTAAAGTAGGCAGGTTGCTTTCACCGACACAGAAAAAATTGATTGCTCAGAGATTGCGAGAATTAGGGAAGTAACTTATTAATGCTATAATTATTGTCACGGATAATTGTGAAACCAACCAATAATGATGCTGCAAATTATCACATGTCGACCAATAAATTTGATCTGTCAGTGAGATAATTTTACATTTAACCTTGACTCTGCTCTAACCCCGAGCTTATAATCAATATATTATATGAATTTCACAATGATCCGCGACAATTATTAGATTCATATTTCCGGAAGAAAATATTGAAGTGTATTGCCACTAGCCTTGATAAATTTCTTGATCTGAGAAATGAATTGCGAAAATTTTCAAGCCTTGAAAAAATCCAGCTGGTTCAAACAAACATGATTGTTCTAATGCGCAGTTTATAAACCTTAAACAGATCAGATTGACACATCTGGAATTATATCATCAGCACTAAAACAATTAAAGTTGATACAGAGAAATCCAATAGCTCGTCACGGTGTTCGATAAACGATATAGTTTGATCCATTGTAATTAACTTTGTGCGTTCATCATGTGTCGCAATGCTTCAGCTGTATTTGTGTCTGCAATTGTGAAATTTTCAAAGAATATTTGGTAATTTTTTTAATATAATATTTTGAGATTTCCAAACAACTTTTGGGCTTAACATTCTTTAGGAATCAAACTCCAAGATTTCCTGGTCAATGTCAAAATTAGTCGTCAAAGAACGTCAAGAAGCCGATTCAGTTAATAAAAGTCTGTACAAGGAGATCACTAATGCTTTGAGTTTATCCAATTGTTTTTTAGTCGGATTTAATAAGTTTTGCTTTGACCATGCACCTGCTGCATAATTACACATCTCGGATTATAATGGCGTAAAAATTAAACATTGGTTGTCGTAGAGTTCGTGGTCGACTAATTTTGTTAAAACGTAGATGCTTCGAGAAACTTCCAACATAAATTCTTGTAAATTTTTCATAACAGCTATATTGGTGTATGGAATGGTAAGAGGAGCTTCTCAAAGAATCGGCACAATTTCTTGACCAATAAATAATTGAATAAATCCTCTACGTAAAATTTTTAAAGCAAATCGCGCCTAACGTTAAAATTCTTAGCGTTAGCGTTAGATACATGTACATGTAACGGTAATAAGTTATTGTCACATGCGTGTTTTATATCCAGATTCTTATTTGGTATACCAATACCGATAATAAAAAACAGTTGAACATGTTCTTTCAATTCAGCATATCGTCTCTACCACGAGTATCTTTTTGTAATTTTTTATGAGATTTGTCAGTAGCGCCATGTTCTTCCCAATCTTTTTGAAGATGTCCAACGATACTTATCAAACTTAGCAAACATCATGAATACTATGACAAATGCCTTACCTGTTAGAAATTCAATTATTATTACTATTAGAGCCGGTGGATAAACAATATGTTCTTTATCCTGCCAATGTTCCTCCTTGGTATCTTCCCTCGCTAGATCTTGAATGTCGACGGAGAGATCGTGACGTAGACGAGCATGAAGTACGACCGCCGAGTTTGGTTCGCGGCCTATAAAAAAATTATCCTTATGAATGAGAACATAAATAAAATAACATGTAATACATTGACACCGCTTGGAAGATTTTTTTACGCATAATTGATTATTGAATTAAATTTTGAACGATACACATGTACAGTACCCCCAAAAAGTAACAATTGTACTTAATGTAAACTCAAATTACTAGTCTATTATAAGAGCAGTGACATTTATTAGCTAATATTTTAGGGGGTGGGGTAGAGCTTGATCTTAGGTAGTACAAAAATTAAGCATTCTGATTGGGTAAAAGATCTTGCCTGGGGGTGTGGGAGGGGCACCTTTATCAAAATAATATTAGCTAATATATGTCAGCACCCTAAATATAACAGCAAATTTGCAAACGTACGTGATAAACGAAAAATTAATATATCGTAGATTATATTATCAATTGCTAGGATCAAGAAATAACAAAAATCTTATTTTTCCTATGCTTAGCATAACACTGATAGAATCTGCCGATGAAAAATCTCGTTATTCTGATCTCTTGATACGGCAGAAGCATGGAAGCGACCGTTCACGCTTTTATGATATTTTGCATTTTTGTCATATATACATACTAGGGATAGGAATCGATTAATTTTGTAGAATCGATTAATATTTGAGAATCGATTAAAATTTGAGAAGATAAATACGTACTCGTTCATTTCCAAAAATGGTCATCATCGTCAGGCATCGTGAGTTACGAGCTAGTATTTTATTGGTCAGAAAGTTTCATCATAGGTTTCGTTATTCGTCACAGACATTTCAACATGATCGTGACGAAAGGTTTAGTCCTAAGAGGGTATCGTTATATTAAAGATTATCACAAAAATTGTGATTGTGCTTAGTGTGGAAATCAATTCACATATATAAATAGAAGTTCTATCACTATAAAGAATAATTTTCTATATCATCACCTCCTTATAAGAGATTTCTTTACAGGGAATACTCACTATAAAACCTTGTAATCTGTTACAAATGACATTACATTATCTACTTTACTGAAAATTACACCGGATCATCCAAGTTACGTATCAACATTCAGTGGACTCCGATAAACTGGGTGTGCTAATCCAGTTTATGCTAATATTTATCCAATTTAAATTTTATCGCTATCGTTATTAAATTCACGATGCGATTTACTTTATGTTAATTTTAATACGTAGCATTCATTCGCCGACATCCAGATTTGTGTGATTGTTACTAACCCGATTTCACCTGGATACCCGACTTCAACCGGATCCGGATATCCGGGTGAAGTTTTTAGACCCTATCGCTATAACGATAATAGTAACGGTAAAATAAAACACATATCGATATACAGTACGTACGTAAATTTCTATTTTAAAGTGTGTAGTCCAACATATTTAACACTATAACTTTATCTAAAGGTTGGAGAGTGTTTGACATACTTTAAAAGCGTATATAAATTATATTTTACAATTAAGCTTTTTGTTTCACTTTAATAAACCAAATCTCAAATGCATAACGAGTTAAAAAAAATGATTCTGTTTAAAGTATGTTTATTACTTATATTATACCGATACCGATACGTAGTACATGTAAAAAGTCATTACCGTTACAATCATATTGTAAATCATCATAATTTAAATTAATTATCCAAGATTCATATTACATGTAATTAGACACTTCTCAAACCCTTACAAACTCGATTATTGGCACATCCCAAAAAAAGATCAGCATAATACATATAATTAATTAACATATTTCCTATCGTTATCGCTATTGGCTATGCCAATGAATTCTTGAAACGAACTTGAATTAAATGTAAATCAGGTTTAGTCCACTCGAAGAACCTATGATCTGGAAGAAAATATCTATATCATAATGCCCTTCGAAGTGTTCTAAAGGACAACGAATGCTAATTGACACATGTTCTATCTATCCATGATTTACCGTTTAATTAATTAACACGCACGCCAAGAAAAATGGAACTACATTGCTTGGTTTTTTCACCACCGTCGCAGTTTTATATTCAACACGACAATGTTGTTTGTTCTGGATTTTCTCGGTCATGCATGATGCATGTACAAGCAAGTATTGGCGCTTTATAATTTGAGCATCGTTTTTGTCAAAAGATGACCTCATCAATGCTATTAATCAATTTAGTATAATGAAACCTTCCCGTGAGAGTGTGAGAAAAGACAAAACTGATTTAGTTTCTTTATATGAGTTTCTCTCGAATTAATAATAAAACGTTTCAATCATTTAAAATAAAGCATACAATACCAACTCGAATAACAATAAGAATAATCAAAAATTGATTAGTCAAAAATAGTTGATAATATAACGATAGATTCAATGAACTACACAATCAAAGGGTAACGATAAATAAATAAATAAATTAACTGCATGAATAAAAAATAACCACGCATGAATCAATGAAGAAAAAGAAAATCTCGGGATGATTAACCAAATTTAGAAATTATTGATGTCCTTTTTTTACCGTTAAATATGCAGTATGCACTTGTTTATACTTATTCTAGTATCAAATATTGATATATCTTGGTTTTTGATGTTTCTTTACGAAACATTTCTCACTCGTCCACTCATTTCCATGCATAGCAACAGAACGAACATCTGTATGCAAAAAAGTACATGTACAATAAACACTTACACACGGACAGGTTGATTAAACGCACCGACATTCGCATAAAATTTTTCCTGTTCCTTCTCTTTCTAGCATAATATTTGTCGCTCTACCTACCGCTAATTATATTTTTCCCAGATTTTTCTTGACGACATACCGATACGTGCATACATACGCAGGAATATCTGTTTAATATAAATATAAATATTCAGTGTTTACGAATTTCTCGTAACGTTTGAAATTTATTTCCAATCAAAAGAATATCGGTTTTTAATCAAACCAAACCTACGACTACGCTTTTCCTTAACGCCGTTTATTTAACGTTGTGAAAATCAATAATATTCTGTGCTGGAAAATAGAATACTAAGTAATTACAAGAAAAAGAACGCGAGAAAGAAACTTTTTTCGATAAAGAAATATTATGAATTTTAGTAACCAGTAAAATACAAAAGAAAAAAGTCGAAGATGTCGACGATATTGATAACAACTAAAACCTTATCTACACTGCACATATGTCTCGAATCAATAGGATTACTGTTGGTGACCCTATCAATAATTATCATTTTACATCCCCACACAAAGCCTTTTCTCACAAAATGGACATTATTTCAATACTTTCTCGCAAGTTTTCTTAAAAGGATTCTCGGAATCCCATTAATCGCAATTAACACAACACTAGAAATTCCAAGAACAATGTGTATAATTCATGGACATTTGAGTGGTCTGCTGTCCTATCCATTACAAATGACACCAGCAGTGCTGGCGTTCTATCTTTGGTTCGCTGTGGCAAGAAACAAAAATATGGAAAAAATGTGGTATTCGTGGTTTACATCATTTGTTTGGTCAGTGGCGGCTATTGGGACGTTAATTCAGGTGTTCATTGTTTCGAATGATGATGATTGGGGTGTCGGAATTAGAAATCATGTGTGTGAGTTAAAGCCTGGTGACTATCGACTATGGCAACTTATTCCTACCGTGTCGTTTGCTACAGTCGGATTAGGATTTGCTAGTGAGTAATATTTGTTAATGTTATTAATTCAAATAGCATTTATTTATTTATTATCATTTTTAGTTGCTTCTGTATATGCGTTTTGCAGCATATGGTTACGGCAGATTGAACGAACTGTGCTTGGATATTGGTAAGTGAGCATTTTTTAGTAATTGCATTACGTATATGTATTGTAGAATTCTATTCATATTTGTTATATTAGGTACTCTCTTTCTCTCACGAGTGCATGTCTATTAGTCACAGTACTAAACGTCTGTAATAGTGCACCCACGGTATACTATTTAATGTTTAAAATTTCATATATTTCACCAATATTTCTGGTATTTTTCAATGCAATAATGTAAGTTTTATTTTTTTACATACACTTTTTACTTGCATTTTTTACATTTTTTCTGTTTTTGATTTTGATAGTGGACCATTACTCTACACGATATTCGTAATATGCGAACACGGCAACACACCGTTCCACCGATGGTGCAAATGTGGCAAAAACTCTGCCGACGACGAGGACGACGACGACGAAGATGACGACGCAGAGATGTTGTCGTGGCCCTCTTCAAACACGTTGACCGAACAACGATTCGCATCGCTTGGTAAGTCAGATAAGATGGAAAAGGGACATGCTGCGGATTCTGGAGTATTTTCAAGTTAGACTTTCGATTGCCATCGGTTCGAGGAAATCCAGTTTTGGCATTGGAATCGGAATTTGGTTAACGCATACGTGTGTACATATTTGTATAGTTTTCTTTTGGTCATTTAAGGGATTGTTAACAATAAATTTGGATCTCATGGTTTGGCGATGTTGGACCTTGTAAATAGAAAATACTATGTGAATGTTCCGGCTATTTCAACGGAATATAACGATATGTTTTGGGCAAAATCCATCCTTAGCTTATCGCTAAATCGCATAGTTGCTAAATAGATCCATGAAAGATATTCACCGTTACCACTTTCGTTATTCGTATGATTCAACCCATTAGCTTTACTTTTCCACGTTTGAAAAAGATCACTATTACGTCAAACGTAGTATATGCAGTTGTTAATAAGTGCCTACTATGATTTAAATGAATGTTTCAATTTTTTATTTTATACTGTATTAGAATACAATTGGAAACAAAATTACTGTACAGTCGCCACAGAAAGTAACGCCCGATTTTTTTTTGCTTTATATACATGAAATTTTTTTTACCATTACTAATACATTACCCGCCCTCTATATTGCTTCAATATCACCTCGATTCCTTACGGCATCGAGCTCACAACCTTCCCCCAAACTAACACATTAAATTTTGACTATACTTCCTTTAGAGCAGTCTTGAGCTTGTTCAGTTTTTGAAAAGCTTTTACACTTTAGAATATGTTTTCTTTGAAGCAAAGTTTGGGAGAATACGTTAATAATCATTAATATTCTTGAACCTATTTCGTGATCTTTTTAGAATAGGGTTAGGTTGGATTAAGCTGAAACACCGTATTTTTTCAAATTAATGAGCATAATGTATTATGAAGAAAGGATGAAATTAATCTTCGGATAAATTTTTACAAAAATTTTTGTGACAATGGCTTTGGTTTTCTTTTTTTGCATCTTGTAAAATTTTTTTTCTTGCTTGTTAAGAGCTTGCGACCTTCCAGAACCTGGTAAATTTTTTTCCTATTTTTCTTGTATTCGGCAAGAAACCATTATCCTGTCATCGGGTCACACGGCTCATTTTCTTGCAACTTGCACGGCACTCAAAACCCCAATAAAAATTACCATTTTACCTTCGTCAAAGCCGGTCAACTGGAGACGGTGTGTGTTATATTTACAGCCAATCAATTTTGCCCAATGTAGGTTTAAAAGTCGAAGAAATAAAAAAAATTTGCCGTCAACAAAAAGGGGAAATGCCACGTTTTAAATTTATGTTGATGTTACACATCCAAATCAGGCGTTACTTTCCGTGGCGACTGTACATGTATATATCAAACGTGTATCTGACATTACGAACTTGAGAGGAAACTGCCTGTCCTGTATGTTTTAGGGTATAGGTTACCTTAACGCTAACGTTAAAGTTTCTAGATACGTGTCATGTAACATAATACAGTACAATAAACAAGACCGTTATGTTATACCGCCCGAACTTGAGTAGTACAGTGGGTAATGGGTCATCAAAGGTCTGACCTGAATTATTTTTGCATTTTGTGGTAACTATTTTTGAAATGACCATGTGGTGATAGTATTTTCCAGGAGGACAACACAGCCGTTCGCGAAGCTTCTGGAAACCAAGAATTCAACTTAGCCTCAACAAAGTCCCGATTTGAACTCCATAGAAAATTAAAATTTTATGGCATGAAGTGAAGACGTTGTTCGCTGATGATCTCCCCTGCACCGTCTATTCTCACAGAACTCGACCAATAGTGAAAGTGGCTTGTAAGGATCTTGCACTCGAATACTATCGAAAGCTTATTTATATATGCTCGAACGAATTTCCACGATAACGGATAGCATACAAATCATTAGTATTAGTAACACTTAGCGTTAGAAGCTAATATTTAAACTTTATTTTTATTTATTATTTGCTTACGATCCCGTTTTTGAGTTGTCAAATTTAATGGCCGGATCTTATGATGAACCCATGTACATTAAGTCACCGGGACACTTCGTGTGACCATTTTGTGGAAATTACGTAATTAAAAAATTTGCATTTGATGTTTTTGATATGTACAGTCGTAATGCCCACTTATAAATTTACAATAAAAGTTTGCAACCTCAACTTTCCTATCAAAAAATTTTTTAAAAAAAATATAGAAATTTGTATCTTTATAAGAAATTATTACATGTATATGTTAGCTTTTTAAAATAATGCTAAGTTAAATTTGTAAATTATATATAAAAATTTACAACATTACTTCACAATCAAGAAATTTTTGCTTTTACCTGTAAAGTCAATCGTTAAAAACACAATTAATAAACTTAAAAATAATATAAATAAAAAATATTTGTTAAAATATAAACTTTAAATAACATGAAAATTTGAATTTTTATGTTTTATTATAAATTTTCATCAGACTTTACTTTTTGTGACGACTGTACATATCGATATACATGATACTGAAAGTTTAAGTTTTTATAATCATTCTTTAAAATACATTTTTTTTCTGCAAAATTATTGTCATTATAACTTTACTAATTGTAATCAAAAAATATGCAATTTTAGTATAACATACTTCAAAACATTTTAAACTACAGCATAATTTTTCATTAATTTTGAAAATACTTTTTTGTGCTTTTTGAAATATTATATGCTAATATATTTTATCAATAACTATTTAATAAATGATTGAAAAGACTCGAAACACTAGTATAACCTATTCAGATATATCAACACAAGTTTTTTTATTATTATTTCACGAAAAAAAATGTCCGGTGACTTTGTTCCGGGAGTGTAAGCTAATTAATTATCAAAGTTTGATTTTACCCTTCTTATAAACGAAATTGACGAACGAAGTCTAAATTTTTTATCTCGATTTTGTTTACGAATCACCTGCGAGTATATCGATATGCCAATATCGATACATGTTGAACTACGTACTTGATTAATATGAGCATGATGAAATCAAAATTATTACGGGAGATGTGCTTTATTTTTTTTTGGCAGAATTTACTCCCGAAATTTGAAAAGAATGTTATTGGATTGCGTATTCCTTTAATTTGTGATATCAGAACCTGTAATTATACTAAGACCAGCAGACTACGTATCACTAATACATGTATTTCTAAATGTTAAATTATTTTTCTGAACATATAGTAACATCAAATTGCTCACAATTTATTATGTGACTTTTGAATACTTTCACTGACATTCATAAAATTAATTTAAATTAGATGCTATTTTCCATCAATGAGCATGTTTTATTTTCACTGAGAATTAGACTAATATAAAAGTTGATTTTAAGATTTACGCCATATTAAATAAAGTTTTAAAATATCAATACCTAGATTTAAGTAATGTAGGTAATAATAAATATTTCTGACATTTGTTTTGAAAATTAATCCTAACCGACAACTAGTTATTATTTTCTTGAACCACAAAAAATCCAGGTGATTAATAAAACAATTTTAGAATCCCAACTCGATTTTCAGATAAATGGATTTTTCATATGTGTGCAAACATTGTTTTTTAAATTCATTATTGACTAAAGGAACATTGAATTAAGACTGTTCTATATTAAACCAACGTAAATAAATTTTACAAAATTCCAAACATTTATAAATCCCGAAAAAATTTTGTTGAATACGATGCAAAAATCAAATCCATCCAAACAATCAAACACTAAATCGTGGTAATTTCGTCTGAAATTGAATTACAAACATCATTTACACAAAAAGGACTCAAATACATGTACTGCCCAAATTTCAGGTAAATATTTAGTATTAAATTAAAATATTCTAATATTATATATAGAAGTTAAACTAAATATTATTAAATATTATTATTATATATATTAATATTTAAATCAAATTTTCTATTTTTTTGTAAGCGACAAATTATAAATTAATATATAATATATAAATTTATTAATCTAAATATAAATATATTATTATTTATATTAAATATTTTTACTTAAAAATTAAAAGTTAGTTATTATTTCTTAAATTATTAGATTTAATAAGCAAAATTGGTTGTTAAAATTTTTTTAATAGCTTTAATTATATATTATATAATAGTTATTTTTATTTTTTTAATAATTATAAAAAAATAGAATTGTTTATAAGCTTAAAATTTTTTATAGTTATAAATTATACTAATATTTTATAATAAAATTATAAAATAAATTAAATATTTTAAACAACATATAAATAAAAATTACAGATTTAAGATTATAAGATAAATATGAATATTATAATAGATTAAAGTGATAATTAATAAAAATTTTTCAAAAGCTCAATTACTTACAAAATTTATTGAATTAATAAAAAAGAACATATTATTTTATTTAAATACTTGTGATTTTATAGTTTGTACAAGAATACTTAAATTTAATATTTTTGTATTATGAGTATTGTAGTGAATTATGAAATATCTCAGATATAGTGAATAATTTTTATATCATTTGATTTATTTCTTTAAATAAATTAAATAACATAAAATTCACTCATTTCTAATTATTATATAATAATATCTCCTTATTCAAAGATTATAATAGAGAGAATATTCTAACAAAAATTAATATTATAGTTTATTGAGAATATTTCATAATTAGTAATCAGAATTAAGTCATTTTTATACTATTTAACTCATCTTAATGAGAAAAATTAAATAATATAAAAATTGCTCAATTCTGATCACTATGATGCATAAAATCTAAAGTTATCAAATATGTATAAACTTCTTTACTAAGAAGTAAATACAAAATTTAATCTGTAAATATGCTCAAAAAAGATCTATCTATCATATTTACAGATTAAATTTTGTATTTACTTCTTAGTAAAGTTTATATATTTTATAAATACAAATATTTGATGATTTTAGATTTTATGCACCATAGATTATCAGATATCTCAATTTATTATAATACCAATATTCTTTATAATGTCTATATTTATCTTATTAATTAAAAATATTATATTTTTATTTTAGAAAAAAAGAGTTAAACTTATAAAAATTAGAAGTAAATATACAAAAATAAGCTAAAAAAAATTAGCAAACAAATTTTCTTCCTGGAATTTTCCAATCTGATTGCCAACGTTGTAGGATAAAAACATCCAATATAATATTTAATACAGTGATGAAGTTTAAGGAACATAACTAGTTCTAGGATCATTGTGAGTATAAATGTAACCAAACGGAACTTGTGTAGTAGATTGTTGATTTACAATTCCATGTATATTGTGAGATAACGGTGCTGTATTATGATGATGAAACGGAGCTTGTGTAGTATTGTGTTGATCTACAATTACGGGAATATTAGGAAATAACGCTGTATTGGGTTGAGATTGTTCATTTCTATGTTTTTTACGATAAAAAAATATAAAGCTTATCGCAACTGTCATAACAAAAACAAGTGATCCTATAGTTGTTGATATTATTATAATTTTTCGGGGTGTTGGCGTTGAAGTTGAAGTTGAAGTTGAAGGTGAAGGTGAAGGTAATGTTGGAAACGGAGGTGGAGGTGGAGGTGGGGTTGGAATTGAAAATATATATTGATCAACCCAGATATAATTTTTTTGAGATAAATCCAAAAGTTTTACAAGTTCTCGAGTAGGATTTTTAGTTCCATATGCGCCTTAAATTGCAAAACTAAAATTAAGTATTGCTTTTCTACATTAAATATTAATATTGATAAAATAAAATAATTACCGAAAGCTACGATCATGTAATTATTATATACAATAGCCGTAGAATAATATGGTATATCAGCAATGCTAGGTTCGTTTAGAGTATTAAGCTCTGACAATCCAAATGTTTCGAAATTCAAAGTAATCAAGTAATCATATAAATTATAATCTAGTGAACTATTTCTTAAACTTGGGAATTCTTTCGTGCCACCAAATATAATAATACTTCGATTATCAGGAGCTAAAATTAATATGAATGGAAAGATTAATTTAATTTAATGTAATCGAAATACGTTAGTAAATATTCTCTTACCAAGAACTGCTGAATGAGCAAAACGGTTGCTAATTTTGGTTTTATTTGTTGCAGTCTTTTTTAATTGTTCAAAAAGATAAAAATTAATGTTGATTTTAAGTAATGATTTTACTTGATTACACTCACTTTTAAAGACCACGGAGAAACTTCATTGGACGTATCATATATCAAAATCTTTAAAAAGTAAAATATATAAGTAATTTACTTTACGTATCTAATAGAAATAAATTTAATTTACTTCTCGAATATCAACGACTTTGTCAGTTCGATAGGCGCCTCCAACATAATAAATTTTACCATCTAAAAATGTTGAAGAATAGACTTTTCTTTGATCTGGAACATAACCAGAAGAAGGTAGAATTTGTTTCCATCTTGAACCAAAAGTATCAAATATATACATAGTTTTATCTATACGATTAGTAAGACCACCCCATATATAAAGTTTTCCTTTGTTGTCAATGACAGAAGACATGCAGCATCGAGCTTCAAGAGGTGAACCAAGAGGCGAAAATGAAAAAGGCGTAGTGCTGACATCAATTTTATAAAAGCCATCCGTGGCAATAAGATCTGAAATGTTTCCTTTGTTTGGCTATTATTATATTTAAAAGTAAAGTATCTTTAAAAAATTTTAAAAAAAATTAAACATCTATTTTGCATAAACTTACAATCTTTCCACCAAAGGCATATATTAATGAGTGGTCGTCTTTTTTCTGCGCGCTAAAGGCGGTTAAATAAAACTTCGGTGCTGAATCCGAATTACTGATTTCTTTGAATTCTGGTTCAGATGTTGTCCAATTTTTAGAAAGGTCCAAGTAAAATGTAATAGTAGCATTTGTAAAGTCGTAACTATCAAAAACAATAATCTTCTCGTCAATTAATACTCCAGGATCTGCACTATATATTTCATTGGAAGAGTAGAATGACTTAACACTTGATATTGAAATAAAGAGTATTAAGTATACACATAATTTTAAAGTTGATAACGATAACATTGTGAAGAAATCAGTTAAAATAAAATGAAGAAATAAACTACAGTACATATCTAATCATCTTGTGACTATTGAGACAAATAAAGTGAATGAGTTGTGACCTACAAATACATGTAATAACGATAGTACATGTACAAAAGTTACAGATAAGTAAACTCTGTTGTTTCGCTAAAAGTAAACAATGTCGCAAAGTTTGGGGATCAAATGCATTTACCGTTACATGTACTAGTACGTACCGGTACGTACGTACCATCGCTATGAAGATCGGAAAATTTCCCATATACGTACGTACGTAGCGGTAGTGGATTTCCAATTTTATATGTAAATGGATGAGATTTCCATTTACATTCCTCTACAACTTTTTTCCTCATAAATAAACACACTTTCCTTATTATTAAAAGTTTGTCTTTTGACTCCAGCCTATTAAAATATTAATTTAGTTTATTAGCAATGGTTTTGGTTAAAAGAAAATCTTCGTCGTCGTAAGTTCAAAAAAATAATAACAAAATGATCGACATACTATCGATGGGATACATGTTGTCACGGGTGGGTCGTGATTATGCGTAATCGACAATTTTACCTGTAACAATGAGTTGGGGAGTGATTAGAATGCGGTGGTGTTCGTTTGTTTCTAATTCCTGTGCCGATATCTACGGATATCGTTCAGTATGACGGTATAGAAGGAATTTGGATGGGTAAGATAGTTTGGGTTTTAAGTTTTATGTAACGGGTTATTGACAATATTCTTCTTATTAACTTCCAATCGTTGCTTTTTCTAGCTAAAAGCCTTAAACTTGTTCAATTACAAAGCGCTTTTTCAATCAATCAATCAATATGCCGTTAACAATATCAACGCCTTTTCTGGAAAGGACCTAACCACAATCAATTACAACAATTTTACAAGTCTAATTTTACTTGGAGAAGAATTGTACGCAATTTAATTCTGTGTCTTTATTAACATCTGCGAGGATTATATATACTGTACATCTTTTTGGGTTACATTATGAAGTATTGTTTCGGAACTTGTTGCATAATGCACTCTATTGTTTAAGAGAAATTAAGATTGAAAAAGAAATAGAAAACAAGAGCAAGATCAAAAGCGAAAATAAAAAGCGAAGTTAAGATAGAAAACAAAAGCGAAATTAGAATAGAAAACAAAAGCGAGATAAAAATAGAAAAGAAAAGTGAAATAAAAATAGAATTTTAAAGCGAAATTAAACTAAAGAAATCAGGTTAGGCGGATTTTACCAAAATTGAGAGATTAGCGAAATAATTCTTAACCCGTAACAGTATTTATAATTACGATGCTAAAAACTCAGTACTCGACAGTAATGACTTTATGCAAAAGATGGCAAAATAATAATTGTAGCTACGAAAATTAATTTGGGAAAAATTAAACATCTAGTTAATATCAACGAAGGGAGATTTGTGCATCGTGACTTTCACCCTTTGGAAATATATGTTCAAATTGCTGATTTTGGATTTGGGCTAAATACGAAACACAATCAGGACTTATATAAATGGATTGTTGAATCCTAATGGCAAAGATATTTATTATTCAGTAAAAGTTTAGAAGGTAATATCTTGTTATTTATTTTCCAAATAGATAACCAATTTGTAATATCCAGTTAAAAAGAGGATCTTGGAAATCGAAAACAATGTCTCGCGAAATTAGAGTTTGTCTCGCTTATACAATTTATATATTTCTGCCTCAATTTAGAAAAGACCATTTATGTTATTCAAACTCAGCTAAATTTCGTATTTCTTGTATCTCGGTTGACTGATACATGTATCCTGCGTTGTTATTGTGCTCATGGTATTAAGTATAATTATATTAGAACATATTTTTGGTTCTGCTTGAAACATTTTCACTCAGATTGAATTGAAATTAAATCACATTAATCTGTACCTTAATAAAGAGCACTGACCTATAATGAATGGGTCCTATATCAAACTTGATTCTCAACTTACAAAGTCAATCTAATACTTTATCGCTATCATTTCCCAATTTCTTTTATTGTCTCGCGATTGATAAACAAGTATGTATTAATTTTACAGATATAAATTTTATTTCTAATAACCAATTCTTATCAGTCTTGGGGTTCAATATAATAACGATTCCGGCAAAAGTTAATTCAAATGCAGTTGCTGATTCTAAGGAAACATGCTCTTAAATTGATGCACGTTCAATGGAACAATATCGAGTGATGATTTATCAATTCTAGTCGACGCGATTTTACATAATTATCAAAATGATCGATTAAATGCTATATCATTATTTTAAAAATCTCACTCAAAAAACACAAAGTTGAAGGTGCTCTAGACCCTATTTGGGTCATGAATATGAGTAATTATATGAACCTAGTTATTTTCATCTTCTTATAGCTATTAGTAAACTAGGTCAATATGTCCGAGAAATACGAAAGCACAACAACAATCCTGCCATTATGCAACAAAAAGATACGTACATGCATTAGTTCGGCAATGCGTAAAATCTAGTTAGAAAGCAATGCAAAATCTATCTCACAAGTAAAAACAGAATACAGTGATGGACAAAATTAGGTCATTTGCTATTTGACTTTTGGTCACTGGTCACTAAATTTTAATATTAAAATAAGGTTATTTAGTAGGTTACTTGAGGTCACTGTCCAACACTGTTTGTAACGGTAAATGCTCAATACACAAATTCATGGCAGATTGTACAACAAAGATGCATTTATCCCAGTTCTTCAAAACAATTGGTCAATGTACGAGAAGCATCACAACCAGTTCCATTTGGGAAATCCAAACAAGTAATTAACGTTAAGAGCTACGTACATACACAATACGTAAAACGATAAATATCAACATCTAATTTTGCAACTCCAAAACAACTAAAATTTATCACATGTCTTAGCATCATGGATAGAAACACGGCAAATTTAGAAAATTATGTCAAATATTTTGATTTCAATAGTTTTAAAGATATAGAAGTAATTGGAAATGGACATTTTGGCGAAGTATATAAAGCAACATTAAACGATGACTTGACAGTAGCTTTAAAAGGTCTTTATGTAAAAAATGAAGACTATGAACGAAACCAAAAAGAATTCATTAAAGAGGTAACTTATTACTTTACCTGATAATTAAAATTCCAACAATAAAATCTAATAGAACTGTGCGTATCAATCAGTTAAAATTCCTTCTTAAAGTTCAGTATCATCCAAACATTATTGACTTTTATGGAATTACTAAAGGTAAATTTTACAAATGTGACTTAATCTATATATCATCTATGAATAAATGTTATGAACTTCAACTCTACCAGGGCCCGGTATTCAAAAATACATGTTGGTTTTTAATTATGCTAATGGTGGAACCCTGCGAGATTATCTGGCAAAAAATTTCAATAAGTTGAAAGGAGTTGATAAGTTGTCTTTAGCCCGACAACTTGCAAAAGGCGTAAAGTGTATACATGATGAAGACATTATTCATAGAGATTTGGTGAGAATTTTATTCATTTCTTTCAACTTTGAGTAGAATTAATCCTTTATTTAATCTTCTCATGTAATAGAACCATAATAACGTCCTTGTTCATAACGGAGAAATCAAAATCGCAGACTTGGGTTATTCAAAACTCTCAAATGATGACTTCAATTCGAGAACTGATTATGGAATCATAAGCTATGTTGATCCGGCGTTTTTACTAGATACTTATAAATTTCGACGAGACCAAATATCGGATATTTTCAGCATTGGAGTTCTATTGTGGATGATTTCTAGCGGTCGTCCTCCATCCAATAAATATGGATACGTTCATAAAAATATTCCTGAGAAAGAAATGACAATATTTGGAACACCTTCTAAATATGTCAACCTCTATCAAAAATGTTGGAACAATACACCAGCAAATCGTCCAGCTATAGATAAAGTAAATCAAGATCTAAACGAAATAGATTGGCCAGAATCTGCATCAACAGCCTCTAAAGAGTCATCTAGTTGGAGTTCTGAAGTATCGTCGTCAATCTCTATAGAACAATTGTCAGATTCATCATGGGAAGAAGGCACTGAAAATTTAGCATCTTACCATAAAAAACTTTTAACTCCCGAAATTATTGCTGGCGGTTTACTGAATTTGCTAAATAAACAACTTAATTACGAAAGAGATATCTTGACTATTGGCAGATCGCTACAATTATATTATCAACAGAATACACAAGATTCCTTCGATACTTCTACTTTTTTTACTTTTTTACATTCTAAAGATAACCCTCAATATAAATTACTTTTAGGATTTTTTTATTATACTGGTTGTATAATAAAAAAAAATTTAGAGTTTGCAATAAAAATTTTTGAAGAGCTAGCAATCAACCAGCATGCTATGGCGCAATATTTATTTGGAACATGTTATGATGAAGGAAATGGAACACAAAAAGACGGAAAAAAAGCATTCGAATGGTATTTGAAGTCAGCAGAAGGCGGAAATGCGTGCGGACAAAGGAATCTTGGTTGTTGTTATTTTAAAGGAATTGGAACACAAAAAAACGAGAAAAAAGCATTCGAGTGGTATTTGAAATCGGCAGAAGGCGGAAATATTAAAGGACAATGTAGACTTGGTTTTTGTTATGATGAAGGAATCGGAACACAAAAAGACGAGAGAAAAGCATTCGAGTGGTATTTGAAATCAGCAGAGGGCGGAAATATTAAAGGACAATGTAATCTTGGTATTTGTTATGATGAAGGAATCGGAACACAAAAAGACGAGAGAAAAGCATTCGAGTGGTATTTCAAATCAGCAGAGGGTGGAGATGCGGGCGGACAATGTAGTCTTGGTTTTTATTATCAAAATGGAATCGGAACACGAAAAGATGAGAGAAAAGCATTCGAGTGGTATTTGAAATCAGCAGAGGGCGGAAGTGCGATCGGACAATATAATCTTGGTTGGTGTTATCAAAATGGAATCGGAACACAAAAAGACGAGAGAAAAGCATTCGAGTGGTATTTGAAATCAGCAGAGGACGGAGATGCGGACGGACAATTTAGTCTTGGCTGTTGTTATCAAGATGGAATCGGAACACAAAAAGACGAGAGAAAAGCATTTGAGTGGTATTTGAAATCAGCAGAGGGTGGAAATGCATACGGACAATGTAGTCTTGGTTGTTGTTATCAAAATGGAATCGGAACACAAAAAGACGAGAGAAAAGCATTCGAGTGTTATTTGGAATCAGCAGAGGGCGGAAATATTAAAGGACAATGTAGACTTGGTTTTTGTTACGATAAAGGAATCGGAACACACAAGAATAAGAGAAAAGCATTCGAGTGGTATTTTAAATCAGCGGAGGGCGGAGATGCGGACGGACAAGATAGTCTTAGTTGTTTTATCAAATTGGAATCGGAACACAAAAAGACGAGAGAAAAGCATTCGAGTGGTATTTGAAATCAGCAGAGAAAGGATATGCGTGGGTGATAAAAGCGACAATGAAAAATCATCCCAAGTTTTGTTGGTTTAATAAAATAATGCAAAAGTTTACATAAAATTCAGCAATCGCTATGTTAATTACCGTAAATTTTGGCAAATAGTGCCCCCTTGATAGTATATCCCATGATTAATACCATAGGATTAGTCGAAGAAAAATTTTGAAAGAACCGGTCCGGTGGGTACCTTGCCTTGTAAGAGACCCTGGGTAATATTCGCCGAATTTTACGGCAGCACATGAATTCAGAATCTGTATCGATAATAAAGTTGATGTTAAAAATATAAGAAATGGAAAAAGTTTTATACCAGAACCAGACTCCCAAAAAATAGCTTCAGTAATACAAATAGAACAATAATTAATTATTACGTAGTCAAACAACTTACAAAAAGACTAAATTGTCCCTTGTATTTACAAATTTATAGAATAACAAGATTCAAAACGTGTACAAAATGATTTTCCTATAACACGATGCTTACTCGGCTATACATATTAGGATGAAAATAATTTATCAAAAAGGTACATATTTGAAATTCGCAAAGGGATGCTGAGTTTAATTTAAAAATTTCTCAATTCTTGAAAATAATCCACAAATATAATCAAGAAAGGAAAGGTTTATTTGTATATCGATATCGAAATTTGTGTTTACTTCCTAATTCTAATGTGAATGAATTTGATTTTCCTTCTCACCGAGGTCTACTCGGGCATTTTTTAACGTTGTTACTTTACGTATATATAGACATAGGCATGCATTTATTTACCGATATCGATGTTGTCTAAATACAAAATTTCATTTTTTAATTATAGCACATAACTCAATAGTTAGTTGCCTAGGCATGGTTTGATCTATTGAGTCACAATCTCTTGAAAAACGACCATTAGTATAGGAAATATTTGAACCTGGTACAATAGACAAGTTTACTTTTTTAACGAATATAATTTTATAAAAAACGATAACAAAAGAACGTTAAGTTCAATTAAGAAGTTGAATCCTATAAACTTTTCCAGCATTATCAACAACATACAAAGCTTCATCAGTCGCACAAGAAGCAACAACACCCTCCCAAGTATCATCACTCAACTTCTCCCATTTACCACGAGAACCAAGTCTAAACAACTTATCCATAAAAATAAGCAAACTATTTCTAAACAACAGAATAGCCCGTGTATTATCCCATCCAACACTCACTTCATCATAACTATAATCGTCTAAACTGACGCGGTACAATTTGCCATACGTCGTCACGGCAAAAACAGAGTCCCCGAAAACAACAGCAGCACAAGTGTCTCCCCAATCGGTACCTACTTTTTCTGAGTTTCCGTCGGGGTATATTTTCCAAAGGTAGTCGCAAAAAGCGAGTATAAATCCGTCGCAAGTCACTAAAGCCTTTGTGTTAGTATAGTATCTGTAGTCGGAATTTCTTTTTTCACCGCTGCCGATTTGTGTATACACGTATGAGGAAAGATCAAATTTCCATAAAATCCCGGATTCGTCGGTTGCATAGACAAAGTTTTCGAGTTTTGTGGCGGCTATTATTTTTTTAGACCAGTCAGAATTTACTTTCTCGTATTTTCCTTGATCGGTGAGTATATAAAGTTCACTTGATGAAAATATTAAAAGCTTATTTTCCGTTAAAGGTATGATTGCTTTTGTTCCTAATAAATTTGATGCGATTTCGATCCATGAAATATTTGGCATCTTTAGATTTGATTTGTGCCTTTTGATTGAATACTACAAAATTTAATTAATCGTCAAAGGGGATTGTGGCAATTAAAAGATTTAAAATGTTGACGTTACGTTAACATTAATTGTTACACGCCTCTTGATAAAACTTGATTTTAACGTTACTCGATACGTATCAATCGAGATTAAAAATAGTGTAACATGCACATGTACAGTACCCAAAAAGTAATGCCTGGTCCATGTAAATTTTAGTACCCTAGCCACGGCGAAAAAAAAGTGTTGGTCACGTGATAATAATCATATCCGACCAATAAGAATGTGCAAAAATGTGTACAACCAATAGAAATGTAGCAAATTTTTGAACAGTCCCAGAAAAACAAATCCGACACAAGAAAATGAAAAATGCAAAAAATACAAAAAAACAGATACCTAAATTTATCTTGGAGCATTATAAAAAATGTCAGGAAGCAAGTTTATATATAATCTTTGCTCGAACCCTAACACAATCCTAATACTTGACCTTTAATATAAATCGGATATTTCAATGGCCCTGGTCGTTATCACGTGACCGACACTTTTTTTCGCCGTGGCTAGGGTACTATGTAAATTTCAAGCTACGTATGTGGGCGCTCGATACAATAACGTGCTCGGGGAAGAGATTTGGTGTTATTATATCGAGATGTTATTCTATCGAAAAAATAAATACTATGGTGCATAAAATCTAAAGTCATCAAATGTTGTATTTTATAAACTGTATAAACTTCTTTACTAACACTAAGAAGTAAATTCAAATTTAATCCGTGAATATGCTCATAAAGGACCTATTCTATCATATTCACGGATTAATTTTGTATTTACCTCTTAGTAAAGAAGTTTATACATTTTATAAAATACAAACGTTTGATGACTTTAGATTTTATGCACCATATGAAAGCTTATTACAGTAATGAGATCGGGGAAGAGATTTTGTGTTAGTATAACGAGATGTCATCTTAAAGAGTGTTACTGTAACGAGCGTTCACTGTACATGTATCTAAATTTTATATCAGTTTAAAGCTAATTGATTGTATTTTTGAAAAAATGCACAGACTTATGGAACTTTTAAAACGAAAGAACTGTTTTAATTATAAAATCAACAAAGAATTTTTTTTATGTATAATTTTAAATCGGACGATACTTTTTGGGGTACTGTACATGTACTTTATGACACAGGAACACACATTACCATTATGCCATTAAACGAGGACAAATACAGTGCTCGTCAGAAGTAACGTAACTTGCCGTAGATTATGTGTACCGAAATTTTCCGGGCACAAAGGACATTACAAATGTCTGATCATTGATACTTTTATAGATTAGCAGAGCCTCTATATTGCGTATTGTATGTTCATAAACTTTCATGTCCCAAATACATGTAAAATGAATCGGTCACTTTAGGAAATACGTAATATCTCGACGGTTAGTGATCCAATTTGAGCGAAAATACCACCATTTGATTTGCCTAGATTAGAAAAACCGGATGGTCACTAGACCGAGACGTTGAGATATTATCAATTTTTCATTAGAAATTGATCGCCAAAAAAATTAATCAGCCAATTTAGGACGTGAATCCAGTGATCCAATTTGAATAAAAATAATACCATTTGATACACCTCAACTGGACGAATCGAATGGCTGTATGTTTGTTCAAATCGGATCACTGAACGTCAATAATTCGATTGAATATTGAGATATGTGTTATGAAATAACTGATGTATTTGGGACGTGAACATACAACACCCAATATAGAATCTATAAAAGGGATCAACGATCAGCATTTGCTCGGGACGTTACACATAATCTACGGAAAGTTATGGAGGTAGGTTACTTCTGACGAACACTGTAAATGGCGTTTATCGTTATCGTTATTATTTTGACTTGTGTTAAAAGAAGAGCAACATTAATTTTTGTGCAGAAGCTCTTTACTTCTATTTGTGTGTGTGCAAATAATCAAAGACTTTGTTTTAAATACATATAACGTGTTGGAATTTTTGAGTAAACGGAAGTTCTATCGCTATCGCTATCATTTATTGTTTCAGAATTCCAAAATGATGTGCTATTTTGGAATTCAAAATTAATGTGTGTGAAAAATGACGTATCTTTGTACAGAAATTCAAATTATTGTAATAAACGTTAACGTTAATGGATTTAGCGTCAGTAATTTCTTTATGCCAGTAATACAAAGCGCTGATAAATACGTGTTATTGCTTAGTAGATTAAGGATTGGCTTATATTATATGTAAAATCACCTTCTCGACATTTTTAATTGATGTCTCAAGCTGTATTTCGTCTTTTGCACGTGTCGGATTTTAATGCCGGGTTAACGGCTTGTGCTACCCGAAATATCCATTTCGTTATTTTATTTCACATTTTCGGATTGATTACATCATTTTAGGGATATTGAATAGTTCAATATTAACCGGGTCTGGATGTAGTTTGAACTATCTTTTTTAATATTCGTCTGAAATATGCACAAACTCAAAGTTCCATCTATGTTTTTATCAATGTGAGACGGAACTAGTTTTTATATCTAAATGGGAGGAGGTTATTGTTCTTTTATGTATTCCTTATTTATATTTTACGAATTTTTTATTGATAGACAAAAAGTTCATTAGAACATAAATATTGATATCGATATGTATATAATACGTTTGATAAACATGGTTTTTTTGCTTGTTCGAATAGAAACAGTTAACGACTAAAGGATTTAAAAAAAAGAATGATATTTATATACAACAACAAAGATGACACAAAAGACCGGTTGGTGAAAAGTTTTTGTAACGCACAAAATAATCTTGCTTTCTGCTATAAGAACGGAGGAACAATTAAATATGAACAAAAGCATTTTAGTGGTATTTGAAATCAGTCTGGAAATCCTATAATCTTGCAATCTGCTATAAAAATGTAGAAGGAACAATCAAAATAAACATAAAGCACTGACGCACAATTTAATCTTGCTTCTTACTATAAAAATGGAGAAGGAGCAATTAAAATAAACAAAAAGCACTGACGCACAATTTAATCTTGCTTCTTACTATAAAAATGGTGAAGGAGCAATCAAAATAAACAAAAAGCATTTGAGTGGTATTTAAAATCGGCAGAGTCTGGAACTTCTAATGCACAATTTAGTCTTGCTCTCTGTTATGAAAATGGAGAAGGAACAATTAAAGATGAACAAAAAAGCATTCGAGTGGTATTAACATCGGCAAAGTCCGAATATCCTAACGCACAAGATGGTCTGTAATGAAAATGGAGAAGGAATCAAAGATTAACAAAAAGCATCTGAGTGATAGCTTCATACAAGACTTTGAAAAAATAATTGAGCCTCTTGTATATGAGATTGAAGAATATTATGAAGTTCTTAGTGCAATAACTCAACAACGTTCTTGGTAATGTACCAAGAATCAGCAACTTGTATTTTGGTTACATTAAGAATGAGTATCAATATCTCATAAAATTAGAAAAAAAGTATATTTACTATATGTTGTAGAAAAGTATTTATTAAATATTGTAGAATACTTGTCTTTTGCAGTTTGTAGTGTTATTTTATATGATTTGTAAATAATAATATTCTGAAAAAAAGTATATTTACTATATGTTGTAGAAAAGTATTTATTAAATATTGTAGAATACTTGTCTTTTGCAGTTTGTAAGTGTTATTTTATATGATTTGTAAATAATAATATTCTGAAATTTGCTATATATAAAAAATATAAATCTTTGTTTTCTAAATTCATAAATTCATAAAATTCTTTTGTATAAACCAATGCGGAAGATACCTCTTTAACATACAATAGATTAAATACTATTTTGTTTTGACCAAACCCTACTAATTCTATTTGGTGTTATAGCAGGTCCAGATGCTCGCGGCCTCAATTAACACAAGCTCGCTTAATTACCAAGAAAATCTCACCCTCACAACAGTCACAGAAAACTTCACCTAATTATAAATCATCAAGAAAGAATAAAGTGAAAAAGCAAATCTAAAAAAGACTGCTTTATTCATCAACCAATCAAAATCAAGCATATCATGAAGATACACATAATTATAACGATCGAACAATTGGACATACTCCGGAAGGATAGATTGAATCGGAAGTCACATTTTCGGTTACTAAGAGTAGAACTCATTACTAAAGCTCGTAAAATAGTTTTAGTTAATACCTTTTATTTTTACTAAGACGCTTGTATTTGGTGTCTAAGTAGAGTTGTTCGGAATGTAATTGTGTATATACCCGTAAATTTTCGTTTAATTCCAATTAATATTGAACGAGAAATAGCGATTTTTAGGCTGACCCGAAATATTTCAGGTCGGATTTGACCCCAATTCGATCTGACCCTGTTGGAGCACTTCTCATTACGTCACCAATAATGAACAAATTTCCAATAAATCGATAAGCTTGTTTTTCATGGGTTTATATATTGTGGGGGATCATACTGAAATCGGATCATGCTGAATATCACGTGATCTGCAAGGGTCAGATACGATCCATCCAGTGATCTGCAAGGGTCAGATCATGTAAATTACGATTCATCCGGCGCACCCTTGAAATACACGTGATTCACTATGTAACCCCCACCCGAATAAAAAACAGCCAATAAGAATGCATAAATTTTTGATAAACAAATCGACACAAAAAAATGAAAAATGCGAGAAAT